ACAAGATTTCATTTTGTGACGATGTGAGGTTTTGTCCTGACACATGGAATTTCCATGACTATCATCAAATGCCCACTCCGTATGTGCGGGACGCCGAGACTAGAGAGCAGCATGAGCAAGAATCTTGGTTCTCAGGCTGCGGAGAGAAACCAGAGAACCCCCAAGGATCAAACACCAGTCAGAACACAAGCATCCCACGGGTGCAGGCACCTTCTGAAACAAGGGCCTACTCCATCACTCCCAACACCTGGGACCCGGGTGTTGAGTGAGGCGACAGCCTGCAATCACCATGAGCTCCTTGGACGAGGCACAGTGATCTGAGATTTCTGTGATGGGGCAGGCTCTCAGGTAACGAGGGGTGCTCCGGCAGAGGGGGGTACTCTGCCACCTGGGACCTGGCTGACTTAAACCCTGGGCTGCTGTTTTGTCTCAGAGATTTTTGTCCTGGAGAAAGAAGGGCTAGTCCCTGGGGAGCAGGCCCTGTGAAGCGAGAGACAAGAGTCCTGGGTGAGACACGACAGTTTGTAGGAATGCCCCTTTTGGGGGACCCAGCCCCACGACTCCTGATATTTGTTAAACGTCCAGGAACTAAGATACAGATCTTTTTTTTTTTTTTTTTAAGCGAGGCAACCCTTGGTTGACCTCACAGATTGCAAGGACCTTGTCAGCTTACGATCCCTTATTTTTTTATTTTTTATGCCTACAGTACCAAGTACTTATCAGGCCTGACCCTGCTTAGCTTCCGAGATCAGACGGGATCGGGATTCTTCAGGGTGGCATGGCCATAGACTAAGATACAGATCTTCCTAAGACAGAGCATCACGACTGTTTTCATTCTGTCAGGAGTTCGAGGTTTCAAGCTTTAGTCTCCCACCCACAAAACTGAGTGGTATAGAGTACAGGTATGTGGTAGAGAGAATTTTGGTCAGAGGGTAAGGTGACTTAAATTCTAGAAGGTGCTCTGCCTCTGCTGACCCTGGGAAAGTCATTTAAACTCTGAGTTTTGGTTTTCCTAATTATTAACTGAGGATGTTGGATGATAGGATCTTAGAATTCTAGCATTTTACAATTTCAAATGTTTTAAAAAAGTTTGCTTAGTACAGGGTTAGACAAAGAAACAAACCTTGAGGATGTAGACACAGATGCTTTTACTAAGAAGTTAGTGGCCTGCTTTCAGGACCCTTGCTAAACTCACCCCAGCACTCACCATGCACTTCCTGGAGGTTCTCTTGGGGGAGCTCTGGAGGCTCACACTTCAGAGTGGGCACCCCGGGCAGGAGCTGGAGGCTCTGACGCTCCAAAGATGCTCCCTCATAATCTGTCACCAGTAGGTGCATGTCCTGTCCCTGAATATAAACAGAAGCCCAGGGACAAAAGATTCACCTTGAAAAGGCATCCTGGTGGGAACTGGACCTAACAGCAGGGACACACTGACAAGTCCCATTTAATCCTCTAAAGAAGCATCAAGGGAGACAGAGTAGAAGACAGAGACACTTATTCACTTGGCAAATACGAACACACGCTAGGCAACAAGAGCCGGGCTAAGGG